CCCACGACCAATTTAATTTAGTTTCTTCATATACTTAGGTGCTGAGGTTTTTTTTGTCCTATTGGATAAATATTTTTGATCCACAACATTTAAATTCTCTTATTTAGTGCAGGGGTTGGTCGCACTGGAACCTACATTTGTATTGAAAGCCTTATTCGACAGTTAAACAAAGAACACGTCGTTAACATTCGTGGCTTTCTTGAGCATATTAGGCAACAGCGAATGAAGTTGGTCCAAACAGAGGTGATTTAATTGCCATATTACACTTAAGTATTAATATAATTTTAATTATCGAATCAGTATTTTATTTGGCTATATTTATTTTGTTTGCTTCATATAAATGTGGCTTGATTTATTTTTCGTAACTTGGGTATTTGTCAGAAACGGCTAGGTAAACTCAGTCCTCTATCATATCCATGCTAATTTCCAGCCTCTGACTTGATATATTCCTAGCAGGGAATGTGCCAAGTTAATTGTCTGGCGCTGAAAATTATCATAAATACTTTGGCACATGATTCAAGACTAGATGCGTTATTTACGTCTCTGATAATACGACCAAGCTTCAAAAAATAGGTCAAAGCAGTTCTATTCAACAAAAGGAGATCCCCACAATACTCGAGGTAACATCCTCCTAGTCTTTACACTTGCTTTGTATACTTTGAACTTGATATGGTGATTTTAATTTCACTTATCTTTTGCATTTATCATCTCATGAATTTTAAGTTCATTTGAAAAAATGAATTTTGCCTATTATGATTTATTTTTCGCGACATTTCTACTCTTTATCATCTATTCTATTTATTTACAATACAGCAACAATATGCTTTTATTCATGATGCCCTGCGTGAATATCTTATATGTCCTATTAATGAAATTCCTATTGATCGTTTGCCTATGTTCATCAAATACATGCTCGGTATCGATCCCTGTGGCTGTCCCAGAACTTTAAAACAGTTTGAAGTGAGTATCTTAGTTGTTTCTTCTGGCCTCATTATTTTATTTAATCAGTCTTCCCTTTAGCTTAAAAATGTTTTTATAATTTTAAATGCTTTTTGAATACCTACGTATTTTAATCCCACGTGAAAGGAGTTGTTTGAACTTGCAGATTTTTTAAAATAGTCAATTATTTGTTCCGCTTACGCAAATTTTCTAATAGGGAAAGATTAACACTTGGAAAAACAATTTCCTATCTTCACATTGATATCATTTCATAAACTTGGACTACTCGAGATTTTTATCATATAGAATTTATATACTTTTCCATTTTCTATTTTATATTATTCAAGGCTTTGGTATAGGGTATAGGTCTGGCTTTAAAGCTGTTCAGAATTCATTCCAACATAATACACTAAACCTAAATCTTGGGTATTATGCATTAAGATACTGGGATTTTTTTCCCTTAAGGTTATTGCACCATTATATATATTTTTATTGGCAATATTCCTATCAAAACGGGAGGATTTTTGTGCTATTTAAAATCGTATAAATATATTATATTCGGCCACATCTCATCTCTCTTATTCTAATGGAAGATATGAAGACCAGGATGGGTGGCTTTTTGTATTGTTGCGGTCTCCTTTCGTTGTATAGAAGTTGTTTGACCTTGTTTTCGCACCTTGTTCGGAGTCCATAGTATGCATGATAATTTCCAGAGTTAGACCATGGATTTGGTACATTCTCAGACGTTTCGCCGGCATCGTCAGTGAGCTTTGTCATTTTTATCACCACACGACAACTCATCAATGAGATAAGGTAAGTCGATCCTTTGACCAAATGTGTGCTGAACAGTTGTGGTACTTCTCCTGTTCTGGGCTATTCATCTATCATATATCTTCGTATCATCCTTTTAATATCACAATTTCTTAATAATATATCTATACCGATATGTTTATTTGGTAAAAACTTTCTTTCTAATTGCTTTCATTTTCCCTTTCATTACACTTTGCTTTAATAATTTTCATATTTTTCTTTGCTTGCAGGAACTTTAGAAATATCAAAATATACTTTAGCATATATGAGATGTATTCAATCTTTCATTTAAGGTGACGAAGGACTGGTAGTTAAATTTTCCTGCAATGCTATGAGTAGAGCTGACGTTTCCGTTGAATTTCACATATCCCTGCTTTCCCAAAAGGTTGATCTGTCGAGATTACATACTAAACTGTAATAGCTCATCTCCCCCTTGGGGTTTTGATAAGACCTAAGCGAAGTCGAAACTGTAGTCCACTCTGGATAAGAACACCTTATGGGGAAGCAAATATATATGAAATTGAATGAAAACGTCAGCTCTACTGATTTCATCGTGGGAAAATGCAACTACCATTCCTTTATCACCTTAAACGAAGTACAATATTTATACATCATATAGCTGACTTACTTATAGTCTCGAAAACCTATTTGTAAACTAATAGTTTATGATTCGATATGAAGACTAGAATGGTGTGGTCTTCTGTTTGGTTGCAATTTCACCTGGTTTTATAGTGTTGGTTCGACTTCGTTTTCGCAATTTGATCAAAGCGTTAGGGAAGCCTTGTGAAACATACCTAGTCCTGTCATAGTGCTGTCATAGTTTTCGTGATAACCAGCATGGGACCGTTGATTTGGCACATTCCAAACGTTTCGCCGGCATCGTCAGTGAGAGGCGCCATCGTTAATACAGAGTTACAACATATCAGTGAAAATTGAAGGCAATCCCCTTGATAAATTTTCGGTTTAACCGTTGTGGCATAAATCCTCTCCCCTATTTTTAGTTTTACCTTCTAATGCTGTATCTCTTTCTCTCAGCCCCACCTTATGTCCCATCTACATGTTCACACAATTATGTGCTCTCGTTTCCTTTAGTGTTGTCTGAGAGTGTCGCTACAAGTGAAGCTTAGTGA